TGCACATCTTCAACTGCAAAAAGCTGTGAAAAATAAACACATATTTTCCAAAAATAACAATGGGCATAAAATGCCCGTATTTGGCCAATTATGTAGATCCCAATGTTAAGAAAAAAGAGTAATGACACGCAGACTTTCTTTTTTTACAATTTCTTTTTATAATTTTTACATTTCTTTAAATTAGGCTTTGTTTATGTATAAAAAAAAATTAAGTATATTCATTGGAGCTTCTAATAGATCTAATTCATGTAGCATATTGTCTAAAAATTTTAATTTATTGTTTATATTTTTATTGAATTTAATTAATATTTTATATATTTTTAACAATAAAAGACAAAAAACTTCTTATTACAAACTAACAAAATTTTATAGTGGTAAGGGAGGAAAAAATAGATGGAGGCTAATTTTTCCATTTAAAAATGAAGTTGACATATTAGGAGAGATTTTTAAGTATTGAAGAAGATTGAGGAAGATTGAAGTGGCTGTCTATCTACTTTATAGTCTTGTTCGTGCCCTTACAACAATTATTTTATAACTTTTTATTTTAGATAGCTTCTTATTCTTAATTATTTAATTTTTTTAATAATTCTTTATTACCTATTATTATATATACATTATTATATGCTGGGATGTGTCTATCATAGAATTAAACTCTGCTCTATAATCTCTAGTTTTCTTTGTCTGTATGACACCTATTATAGGTTCTTGATGTACTATAGTCCTTTATCAATATACATCAATTATTAGTTTATCGTAAGAAAAAAAAAAAAAAAAACCCACATACCTTGTCTTTCGATGTCATTCTGTTCGTTTTGGTAGATTGAAATAACAGAATTACCAACCTCACGTGGCCTCTTTGCTTCCTTATCTTCTTTAGCAACGGATACACCAGAATAAATCAATTTCTGCAGAAATGAAAGCCGGGTTCCACTATAGAACAGAGAGCTTTGAGCAGACAACGTTAGAATTGGAGTCAAAACCTGATTATTGTAATAGAATTTGGTGAATGCCAAACGCGGATATTTGTGCAGTAGAGCCAAAGCAATAACTGGTCACGTATATCAACAGATAAGAAAAAGTAGTTTATAATTTCCACACAAAAAAAGTACTTAATTATTGTACTGGACAATAAAAATAATATTGAATATATTTCTTCTAATCTATGTATATAATTAAAACTCTTACCAAGCATTTCATTAAGTATACAAAAATGGAATCGAGCCCTTCGAGCCAAGTGGCAATAGCCACCATGGTGCATTCCCCCCTCTCTCAGGGCTGGTGTTCGAACCCAGCCCCTTGTAAAATCAGTTCAAAAAAAAAAAAAAAAAAAAAAAGTATACAAAAATGGAGGAGTAAGGAACCATGCTCGCCATCTAGGAATTCCAGAGTCTGAAAGTAGAGATAGAGTGTGGTATCCTTGAAGCGTTGGAAGCATGCCCGCACCACTGGAATCATTCCTTCTGTGTCTGGGATAGTGAGCAATTTCTTGTTCGTTATGGTTAACAATTCTGCAATGTCCGTTGCTCCAAAGTACGCAGCATAGGCAAGAGCTGTCCTACCAGTTTCATCTTGGAACAAGATTTCCTCTTCGGACATAATCCGCACCAGTTTCCTAACCCCCTCCACATCACCCGTTTGGACTGCCAAATGAAGAAGGCTAGTACGTTTACCCAAAAAATGTGGATTTTTTCCAAGAAGCTGACAGTCTTCTAGCAATTTCATTACGGTATCCCATTTCTGATTGAAAATGGCTTTTAAGAAGTCATTGCTACGACTCCTTTCAATGGGCTTCCTTTCCCCTGCAACAAATTAAGTTCCCAAAAGTCCTTAAGCAACCTCACCAAGGGATTATATATATATATATATATATATATATTGATCATATGTATTTTGGGGCAAAAGAAAAGGAATTCAACAACCTGGAAGGATTCCCTCAAAGAATCTGCGGAGCTCTGAACCCAGACTTGATGATTGAGGTCCATCCAAGTCCCATCTATTCTTCATTTTATGTATTTTAGCCAATTGTTCCCAAGCCTCTTTCGCTAAAGTTTCCTCCATTATCCGAGTAAATATCTCCGGCGCACATGAAATTTGAAGGGCGTGTAGAACTGCAGCATTCTTTCTCTTCCAATTAGCAATAACCTCTTCATTAGTAGAAGACGGTACCTTGCCTGATTCAACAACATCCCAAAGATTTTGAGCTGATAAATAGTTTTTCATGCAATTACTCCACTCTATATAATTGCTCTGTGAAAGAACATCTGGAACAATCACCGTCGAGGGGTTCGTATTTCTGGCCATTGCAACCTACATATACAGCAGCAAATCATAATCCAAACTTTAAAAATTAAATTTAAAAATTATAATCTATCTCTATTCTCCTATTTAAAAATTAAATTTAAGAGTCCTACCTTTTGTAAATATTCTCCCTTTTACTAAATTCCTTAATGTTCAAAATACACAATTTGTTCTTCTTCAATAAAATGCATCAAGAGTCTTGTTAGCATCCAATTGGACTGGGATTGTCTCGAAATTTAATTTTTCTCCCATTGTTCTTAAACTCGAAACCTATCAAATGCTCACTCCTCATATAAAAGGAAAGAAGAAGATTAGTGCTAATCTTTTTAATTGTTGATGATGACAAAATTGGAGGCACAGAGCATGTGATTGTTGAATGGTTGTGTGGCGCAAATGAATGTGGCAAAAGAACCATTATCCAAACTTTGTGGTAAACCACCCACCCAACAGACTCTTATCTTTTGTCATCTTTGCTTTAAACAACTGGAACATTTTTTGCCCATGTAACTTTAAAAATTACAACAAAAAAAGGGTTCAGGAACGCACAGCTAGTGCACTCTGTATCCAAACAAAAACAGGGATAAGGAAATGAGCAAGCCAACGAGCCCTTTCATGTGAATGGACGATTTATTGTGCTTCCCATTTTAAGTAACCCTCTGTAGTTCAGTTCAGTTGTCGAGAAATAACTGAGAGCTTAAAATAAACTTCTTTGTTTGGACGAATCAAGCTTTTTCAACAACAATTATCAATTATTAAATATTGATTATAAACTCTTTGAAAACTGATAAACAGAACAGCGCCTAATAAATTTGTGGAATGAATTTTTTTTATTCTAGTTACCAAACAGAAAGTTCCTTATTGACACAAATTCTGAACACACTGGCTTGTTAGCAACCCCTCTAATCATCCTGTAACAAGACAAACTTGATATGTGAATTCCTTAGTTGCGATTTTTTTTTTTTTTTTAATTTTCATCAAATCATATACCAAAATAGAAATTAAATAAGATAAACCACTCATGAAATTTTCACAAAGATATAAGATTACATTAGGAGAGAGTTTAATAATGTCATCACACACATTCAATAATTGCAGCTGCGATGCATATAAAGCCAAGTCGTATGATCAATATAAGATACAAAAGTAGTTTAATTAACACTCCCCACCCTCCGTAAGTTTGCTTCTAAATTTCCCCATTATGGATGACATCCTTTTTCTTACAAAGGATCTCTCCCTGTTAAAGTTCCCCGGCCCATAAATTGAATAAAAAATCTCAATAAGAATCTGAGATTGCAATGACCAAAAGACAACGACCGGGATGCTGGCGAGCAAAACTAGCGAGAAGATTACCCACGATCGATCCGGTAACATTATAGAAACAGCAGCACAAAAAGCTACCATCATTGTTGCGACAGAAATGAGAAGCGTGAGAATGCCGACACTCAACCAAAGAAAATCTTTTTCAGTGTAGGGATATGTGAGGATTCCTAAAAACGTCAGCACTGAAGTAGATGCAGCGAACAGAGAAATTGCATCTGACATTATATATGTCAAAAATAATCTTTTATGTGAGAACATGGGGAAGCCATTTCCATTGTTACCACCGGGAATGGTGAAGGCTGCAGCAAACATAATAGTGATGATGAGGGTACCAACTATAATGTAAGAATTTGCTGCTTTCTTCATCCATGCTTCAGCTTCTTTTAACAATTTCATGTGTTCCCTGGTAAACACTTGCCAAGGAGTTTCTCCATTGTGATTCACCCAGTCTTTACACTCTGGAACAACAGACTCAAATTCCTGCATCAACGAACTCATGATTAAATTAAGCTACTAACCTTTTTTTCTTTTTTTGAAGAAGAAAGGTAATTGTAAGCTACTAATTATTTTTACACAGTGAAATTAATTAAGGAAATTATTATAAAATTAATGCCATGATATATATAAATTTTGCATGGTTGAGGAAAAAAAAAATATAAGCTGACTACCTTGAACCATTGTAATTCCTTTTGCATTTGAAGGGCTGCACCTGAAAACTGAGCAAGATAAGACTCTGGACCTAACTTCGCTGCTTTGTGAAGCGCATTATTGCCGTCGCCATCTGTCCATGCAGCCAAAAAATGTCCCTCTCTAGCGCGAAGCTTATGAGAATACTTCTCTTGACGACATTCGATTGCGTAAGTTTCTATGAACTTTGTCTTTCCATCAAAAGCGGCTGACATTACATCACTATTAGCTTTTCCAATTCTTAAAAATTCTATTATGCCATGCTGGATCGATTGGAACAAAGCTGGGACGACTCTACTCTCAACCACTTCTTCCGCACTCAATTCCGATAATGCATC